CTTATTCGCAGAAAAAAAGTTGAAATTTGTAGACCAGTGTTATTAATTGAGCATCTGCTGGCAGTGACAGACACAGTGTTCTATGCTTTCCATTTCTTCCTTGTCACAGCTGCGGCAGAAATAATAAGCCGGCAGGCCAATTCTTCCAGCATGCCTTCCCATCAAGCAGTGACTGTATATAATTCCGGTCACTTGCCTCAGTAGAGTACATTTTAGGCAAATGAGTAAGCCGGGCCGTTTCATTTGGGTTCTTCCGACCAACTTTTATGTGCTTTCTGAGAGCAAGTGTGATTTAAGCCATGATTTGCAGGTAGATAGCGGTCGGCACCTACACAATATGTGTAGTAAGTTTAGTAATTACCAAGAACTTTCCTGTATTCCACCGCCAATTTTAGCGAGGCTTCATAGCATTCCACTGACCTTATAGCTGCTTGGCTACTGAAGGCAGATTAGAAGAAGAGACAAGGTGCAACCTCTTTCGCAACTGTCAGCTCTGTCAGAGATTCAATGAGAGGTCTTTTGGGTGAGTGTTGAGCCATCCGTGTATCTGGATAGTTATCTTGAAGGCTCTCGAACGTGTTTTCAAGATCGAAAGGCAGTTTTGTGTAGTCCGGGGACCTGAATGTTGGCGTAATTGATAAGAATGTAGATGTGACCGAATATAGTCGCTTTCCATTTGGATAATGCATTTTTTCTTACATTAGGACTTTAATTTTGTACAATTTACAACTCTTCAAGGACTTATTGAACCAACCTCTTGAACATTATTATTCTTTCCTTCACTCATTTTCAACTCGAAATATTTAACTGAATAGAACGGGTAAAGGTTCTACAAAGATTTTTTAGATCACTTAGGCCTTCACTCGTTGTCATCGACTCGATGAACGAATACGACGAAGCTTGCTGCGGCTCTTTCCAGCAAGTATAAGGCTTCTCACCGGAATGGCAACTTTGTCGCATACTGGCCGCAACAAAGTTTTTTCTTGTTTTTCCGTTTGTCTTACCCTTATCTGCCTTCACGCCAACCGATGGAGCGAGCTCCACCGGCAACAAAATCGTGAATAAAAGCTCAGCTTGAAGAGCAAAGCAGCTGATTGGCGGTAGTGTGCTTATACATTGGGGAAGAGTCTCCATTATGGGTGTTCGCGCCAAAACGATACCGACCAATAGTAAGGAAAATAGGAGAAGAGATGATGCAAAAAACCACAATAGGGGCGTCGCCTTTTTCTCTTATCGCGGCGCTTTTGTTGTCCGCCGAATGATGGTAATGGCAAATTCCATGGTGTTTGTTTGTGTGCGTCGTGGTGGCGACCGCTCTAGCGCCCAATTCGTTTTTACAATTAACGGGCCGTCGCCAATATATCGGGCAGCAACAACACCGGCATTGGAGCCCGATGGTTTTGCGAATCGGCGCGTAGGTTGCAGTCCAACTTGTAGCCGCACGCCGGGGCAGAACCAAGTGTGTATTGAATAGGGAAACATCCCTATTGTGAGCGTTTACAAGTCATAGTGATTAAAACAAAGGAAACAAAATTTGATTTGTGAAGTACCAGGCGAGGTACCAGTTTTATTTTATTTTTTGTCATTTTGACTTGTTTGGGTGCCAGACGAGGCACGCAAGACTGCAGACGCGCAGGCAATTCGAGGGAGTGATGCCAGGCGAGACAATCGAGGTTATTGTGTCAGTATCGGACATGGGTGGCATAATCCTGGCGGAACACCCAGCGATCGACGCACATCCCAACCACAGCCTAAGTATTCTTTGTATTGTTGCCTGTATTTTGCCATTGGTGCTGTCGGTAGTTGTTGCGCTGTGTTCCTTTCTCGTCCTTTTAACATCGCGAACTCAGAGCCCAGTCACTTGGCGGGTTAAAGATATCCCTGGCAGCTCGGGCGGTGATGCGAGTGAGTTCGTAACCTTTTGGTTGGACCTCATCTCGGCTGCACCAACAAACAACAAACAGGGTTTTGTTTTTGCATTTTTGTTGCTATCTGCCATCTGTCTTGTCATTTTAATACATTTGATCGCATTTAAATAGTTAGTGACTTGTCTCATAATTTTGGGCTCATCCTAGTATTAATACTTGTACGTTAGTTGGTTGCATACTAATAGTTGGTGCCGTTCCCCAAATAATTGTTGTCCTATCTCCGAAATTCAGTGGCTTAATTGTATCGCATAGTGTATTTGTCTTCCCCACCAGCAACCCCGCCGTCTCCACTCAACCAGCCGGCTGCCAATTTTTTGTCACTTCCTTTTTGTGCATATATTTCTTTATTTGGTTGCTCCTCTTGTATTGTTGTTATTGGGCACTGCAAGTACATTGGTGCATTAGGCTGATAGGATATTTTTCGCACAATTGGTGGCCGTCGTAGACGAGTAGAGGCGCAAAGGTGCACACTATGAAAAAGTTGTTTAAAAAATTATCTGTACGTACTAACATTTTTACAATAATATCAGAAAGCACACTACAAATTATAAAAAAAAATCACCCAAACAGACACGGCCGCCTTCAAATATCCGCGGCTTCCCAAGGTGGCATTGATCCGAGTGGTGCGATTTCTATTGGCTCTGCCGCATAGATCTGGCTGAGTTTGAGAAATGGCCTGGGTTATGTTACTTTTAAGGGGGAACTTCATAAAACCGCACAATGGAAAACCTAGCGGTGTCAAATCGCACAAACTTGGTTCAAAATTCACGTCACCTCCGCGAAAGATAACTATACCCTTAAATCGTGCATGCAAAATTTCCATCTTTCGTAACACGTGGCGCCTTATATTCTGTAAATTTAGCCCTAAGAAACCCGTTATCTCTGCTATGTACCGCTCGTCAACTTCGCTTTCAATATAACCAGTAAACAATTTCTTTTTTGTTTTTTTGCCGATAATGATATTTTAGATCAGTGGTTAGAGGTGCATTCTACCCCTTCGGTAGGGCCAAGGTTCGATCCCTGCTCAAAGCAACATCCTATTTAAATTACAGAAAAAGATTGTTTTTTTCTAAACAGCGGTCGTCTATTGGCAGGCAGTGGCAAACTTCCGAGTATATTTTTGCCTTGAAAAAGCTTCTCATAAAATTCTTTTGTCGTTCGGGGACGGGGTAAAAATGAAGCTCCCTCCATTTGTGTAACAACATCAAGACGCACACCACAAATTGGAAGAGAAGCTCGGCCAAACACTAAGCAAAAGTGGAAACGCCAAAATATTATTAATATTATTATATTTTTCTATTTGCTCTTTATCTCGGTCTAACACTTATCAAAAGTGCAGGCGCCAAATATTTTTTCTATTATTTATTGCTATTCAAATGGAAATTGCTGACATTTACGATATATTTATGTATGTATTTCTTTTCCTTGGAATTCCTTATTTTTTCCTATTTTTTTAAGTTTATGTCATGCTTTCAAAAGTTATCATCTTTAAATCATACCTGTACATATTATAAGGCTAATCGATAATATTTTGTTCTATTTCTTCCCACTTTTTCTTTCTAATTTTACGACATCGCTTCGCTATCTATGCTCTTTATGATTGTCCGCTTCAAAACATGCTCACAACTACCACCACCACCACCAACACTACCCCAACCACAATCAAACTATCCACACCGTTACCACAACCAAACCACAATTCACTATGCAGCACCACATCAACCCTATCGGTCGGCAGCACTGGTAGTCAAGCGCGTTTGATACAATCATCCCATCCGCCATCGAGCTATCAGCCAGTTCTCATGAAAGATTTAGGTAAGACTTACTCAATAACAAACGAACTATCGTCTTCCCCTCAAGCAGAGTACATGGAAGCCACTGCGTCAGCGACAGTGAGCTCTTTGTCCGCAGCTATGGAGGCCTCGGGTCAAATGATGTTTATGATCGAAGAGATGGGCATAGAAGTCGGCGAGATGGACATGGAGGAGGAGGAGGAGGAGGAGCGTGGAGAAGAGATGGATTACGTGCTCGAGTCGGATTTGCAAGCTGCATCCGTAGCAGCAGCTTTTAATTTAAGTTTAGGTAGTAGTGGTAGTAGAGCAATAACAATTAGGGGTGGTGATATGGCTAACACAGGTAGTCGTAACGGTAATAATTTACATCGTGTCCCTACTCCCAAGCGTTTGTCTCCTAGACAATCGCCCAAAGCAGATATTGAAGTAATAGAAATTTTTGCCAACGAGCTAAGTCAGTTGACCGCCGCTGAGCAAGTATCGGTTGTGCATCATTCGGGAAAAGAGTCTTCCAAAAAGTCAAGCATGCGCCAGGCAAGTGTCAGTAGTGGTAGCAGTAGCAACGGTGCTACGGCTTCCGCTAGCGATGCAATAACTCATGTAGTAGACAAACACTTAAGTGATCTGGAACACGAACAGCTCACTGACGCCACATACGATATCGCCGCTTACATGGCCAACCTTAAGGAGCAGGCACTCGAATCACAAGATCTGCAAATGGACACACAGGATCAGCAACAGAATGACTCAAGTCTTTCGCCGGAGCCGCAGACAGTAGTAGAAAATACCCAGCAAACGGTAGTGGCTGAAATCGAATCTCCCCCTCGACCCGCCACAGAATCTGACAGCACCGGAACAACGACAGGTACTTCCGAAAAGTCGGAGGACGAATCGGAAGACGCTACGTCAACGGGTGCGCACCATGTTATCATTGACAAGAAGGTAGATAAGGTGTTCAAGTCCAAGCCCTCGGAGAAGGCACAAAAATCGAGTAGTGGTAGCAGTAGCAGCATTGCTAGTACTGGCACGAAATCGAAAACGACGAAGTCGCCACGTCAGAGTATCCACATTTCACCCGACCGCTCCAAATCGCAAGGTAGCTCGCCCGTACGCATAATAAAGATAAAATCACCTCGTTCTAGTGTCAGTGAGCAGGGTAAGCGATTAAGTGCTAGTTCCAGCCGCGACTCCTCAGCCGATCGCCTTTCCAGCGGACGGCGCACTCCCAGCCCTCGTCGCAGCTCGGAAGCTAGTGGAATACTAAAGCGACCCACCAGCCCAGCTGCTGGCATACTGAAGCCTCCGCCAAGCCCCAGCAAGTCGAAGAGTCCTGACCGAAGCTGCCTGAAGAAACTCGCTCCCGCACACGACTGCAGCGTCGAGTCACTTTCCCCACATATTTCGCCACGCGACAGTATTGAACACCTATCGCCCGATCGTGCCAGCACCAGTCTCTGCCAGCGGCATTCGCCACGTAGCAGCTTCGACAGCCGCAGCTCTGAGCCAACTCTTGATATACCACGCTCGTCGCTAAAATCACCACGCGGAAGTTTCGAATCGCGTTCTCCTGACCGCTGCAGTCGCAAGCGCAGTCAATCCGCGCATGGCAGCTTTGAAACCGGACAACGCGCTGCAGCGCTTGCTGCTTCCGAAGCCTACTACCAGTATTACCCGATATATGATAATCAGACCTGTAGTGATCATTATATTTCAGCAGCTACAACCAGTATGCAACGAGAAGCCGGCACTTCCACGACAAGTACGCGTCGCTTAAGCAAATCCTTGGAGCGTTCAACATCGCGTGAAAGCACTACAAGCAGCTCGTATCGTTACGGCGTTTCACCCGAACGCATTTACACAATCAACACAATGGGTACTGGTCCCTTGCGTTCGCAATCGGCTGAAAACGCATTTGAACGTTATGCCTACGATCCGCACACGGGGCAACATTATCAAATGCCAGCGCAAGAATCGGCCACTGCCGCTCCACCTGCCGCCTTCATGTACAGCCACGAACCACAGTGTCCACACGAGCGTATCGCCGCATACCAGCTCAGCTCGTCTGCGCCCGAATACACGACATGTATTGACTGTCTGTACCAGAAGAGACCCTCCTAGCATAAGGCCCGCGTGCGGCAGAGTCGTACGCGGAAGAAGACACCACGTGGCGTAGTTCAACCACCGACGGCAACGGCGTCGGGTATGATTTGCGCGGCCAGCTTTGATCCGGAGGCGGCCGTTGCGGCGGGTGCCAGCGAGGCAAGCGGTTGTGTGGATTGTCACGACTACTACGAGATACACGTTTAAATGGAAATTAAATAACTGAAATGAAATACATACACATTTAAAAAAAAAAAAAGTATCTAAACCTAAAAGAAAATCTTACTTGTGCAGTCCTTACATACGTACATCACCATCAGAACCATCAGAAATGAACTTGTTGCCATCCAAAGGTCCTCAACTAATAAGTTTACATATGTAAATATTTATGTGCATATGTGTAAACGTATGTATTTATCTTTGTTGTTTGTCACAGGGATTTTTGAAAAACTAATCTATATATAAGTATCGCATATATATATGTACATGTTTGTATACCAAGAATAGGTTCTTCAAGTGTTCAGAATAAGGATTAGTATTTACTACAAGTACGTGTAAAGTGATGTCCTCAATACTTTTTGTTGCCTTTGAATTATTACACCGTGTGAAAAAAAACAAGAAAAAAATTCAAAACACACGAAACAATGGGCTAAATATAGTAAAGCTACGTTTTTATTTTTTCACGCTGACGTCAGGATTTTTTTAAGGACTTTGAAATTTTTAAGTTATGATTAATTCAAAAAATTATAAAAAAAAAATCAGTGCAATGTAGAATAACAATATGGGTACCAAACGAAAGAGAAAATTCTGTAGAATTAAAAAACAATAAAGTTTTTGGTTTACAAGAACGAATAAGTATTGAAATGCGCTTTTTTATTAATTTTTTTTTTTAAGCTGATAAAGTTAAGAGAACGAAATTCGAGTATGTGGTCGTGTGTATATTAGTCCTTAATATATAATTTGTTCAAAATTGAATATTGTAAATTTTCAAGGTTATTCAAGGATTAAATTTTAAAAGGAAATTTTCCATACCCATTCGTCCTTATGCACCAAAAATATTAATATTTCTCAATTTTACAGGAGTTTCGCCTTTTATTTGATAACAACATTGATATTCTACATTGCACTTTTTTAATAATTTTTTGAATTAATCATATTTTTGAAATTTCAAAGTCCTTAAAAAAAAATCCTGACGTCAGAGTGAAAAATTAAAAAACGCAGTTTTACTATAATTTGCACATATTTTCGCGAATATATTAATTTTTGTGGGTATAAAATTTACTGTCGCACGGTGTTATGAAAATACTTAAATTATTCGAGTAATGAAAATTATTTTCTTTGAGTGCCACCTACACAAAATTAATCGGTAAAAAATCGATGCGTGTTTTGAGTTAATACATTACTAAATACTTGTTGTATTTGCATACTAATTGGAAGTGTTTTTGAAAACGTATGAATACATACGTACCTGCTTATTTATACGTAATGTAAGCAATTATGTGTAGAGATTTACAATACATACATAAACACTCAGATCGTAGATGCGAGAACATGCGTTGTATAAGTACATTACATAACGTTTTCATCTAACAATGTACAGGGAAAACTCGTAACTAAAATGTAAGTTTAAATTTATGTAAGAAAATAACATAGGTACATATAGTACATACCTGCATATTAGATTTTTCAAAAAAAAACAAATCGGATCTCTTTGATTAAAAAAACGATGGCGCCTGTTCCAATATAGGTTTTAGAGGTCGCTACCGGCGCTTGAAATTTCAAATTTTCACTAACTTCGAAATTTCTTATCAAAGGAGAATTCGATAACTAAGGTCATATAGGTTTATCAAGCCCATCTTGGAGCAGGCGCCATCTTTTTTTTAATCAAATATACGAAATCCCAAGGCTTATCGGAGATCCGAAAACTCTTTGCTGAAACAGTCTAATGCATATGTATGTAGATTTTCGTGTTGAGGTAGCGAAACGCGTTGAAGAAAAAACAATTAGGGAGTTCACAAGGTGTTGTATACTGTCGTACTGTTGTATGT